GCAACTTTCATTTCCTATTAGGGTGCATGATAAAGAGATTCTTAGGTAAATCTTATCAACGCATTGCAACCATTTGGTTTTAATTCAACGTTCAGATTAACGTGGTCGACGAGACATTTTCACTCGTTTTTTTTGCATATGGGCTGTGCCCATGACAGGTATCGTTCGTGAGTCGGAACTTATTTTTTCAAGAACTGGTCATCATGCACTTTTTTTTGCGAAATAAAAGTTGAAAATTACCTTCCTTGCTTCTTAAGTTGCGCATCTTTTTATTATTTAATTCATGAATACCCTGAATGGCAAATATTTAAGTAAGCTTCCGATGGTTTAATTTGCATATCTTGTAACCAAGTCTTTATCATTCCACATCGCTTTCTATTATTTCATAATTGGTTACGTTTTGCTCCTCTTTCACACTCGTTGGCACTTTCTTGTCAGTTTGTGTTTCGATAGCACTCAAGGGCTCGTCTCTGTAAGTTAAAACTTTACCTACTTGAAGTTATTTGTTTTTTCTCGGCTCTTTTTGTTTAACTAGACTCGCATGTATTGACAGTGTAACATTTTCATTATTTTTCGCACATCTTTATTGCATTTTCATCGCCTTTGTTAGAGCTCTCGATCTCCATCAAATTGAAGCCAGTAGCAAACTTACGACCCTCATTTCCTCATCGGCTACAAACTTATCTTCGCCGAGTATTGGTATCATCTCTAGCTCCCCTCCAAATACGACTAGTCCCTCCGGCTTAGCGATCGGGCCCTGCACCATTGCCTCCAAAATGAACGAGCCGGGAAATTTTGCAGTTGCTGGTGACGCTAGCGACCACCTGGTCCAGCTAGTACTGTTTGACCACGTAAACAAGTATATAGCTGGGGAATTCACCTTTCCTTGGCTTACAGTCTGCTTTGCCGAGTGGGACGGGCTTTTTGTATTATGCTCCAGAACTCTTGGACAGTCGGCTGACGTGTCGCCAACAAATATGGTAAGTATTAATAAATACTATTTTTCGTATGTGAGTGGTTTCGAGACTACCAGTAAATCAGTAATATGAGATATATTCACCCTATTTCGTTTAAGGTGATGAAGGGCTGGTAGTAGAATTTTCCCACTGATATGAGTAGAGCTCACGTTTCCTTTGAATTTCACAGCATTGCTTTCCCAGAAGGTGTTCTTATCCAGGGTGGACTTCAGTTTCTACCTCGCACAGGTTCCACTCACATACGAAAAATAAGTTACATAGTCGATTGTTATAGCAAATATAGGTTTGCTTCATTGACAATCCTACCAAAGAATGTGAAAATTCGCATCTGCCCTGTGACCCAAGGGCACTCGTGGCAATGCGGCCGAGTGGTTAACGTGTATGCTCACATTCTGCACTGTCATGGTTCGACTCCCCTTTAGGGTATTGATAAGACCCATACATCTAATAAATACTAGACGTCATTTACTGGTAGTATTGACACCCTACTTATAAACGAATTAAAGTAATGTAGTAGATTGCTATAGCAAATACAACTCTGCTTCATCGACAATCAAACCACAGAATGATATATAGAAAAATGCCTGCCTTCCATTAAATTCACATCTGCCCTGTGACCCAAGGTCACTCGTGGTAATGAGGCGCATTGGTTAACCTGTCAATATCATAGTTCTGGATGCTATGCAATGGTTCGATTCCCGCTGGAAGGTGTTGATAAAGCCTAGGTGAGGTCGAAATTGCACTCCAGCCTTAATTAAAACAACTTTTTGGAAAGCAAGACTATGCGAAATGCAATGAAGATGCAAGGCCAACTCATAACATTATAGGAAAAATTCAACTACAATACCATTATCATCTTAAACGAAATATGGTGAATACTCTTCATAGATAAATAACTTACTTGTAATCCCGAATATCTACTTTTAAACGAAACACTAGCTAAATTGTTAACAAATTATATTTACAATAAACATCGCTTTCTTAAACCTCTGAGTTGATATAAGGCATATTAGTTTAACCCTATTCCATGTTAAAGATGCAAACGAGCATTGAATATGTAAAACTGTGCACCAGTTCGTTGAGCAATTTTCCACGATAAGTGATGTCAGGACAAAGTCTAGATAAACAAGTAACAAATAGTGATATTGAAGGCGTGATACGAGGTTATTGGAGAGGTGAATAGATCAGGACAGACGGGGAGATAACACAACTGTTTAGCACACATTTGGTCAAATGATCGACTTCACTTGTCTCTTGACAAATTTTAGTGTTTTGCTAAGAATGACAAGGCATACTGAAAATTCCGACTACGATGCCTGCGAAACGTCTTGGAATGTACCAAGTCCACGGTCCGACTGAAAATTATCAAGCATACTATAGAATCCGGACAAGTTGTGTTCCTCTAGGTCTTTCTTCCAATATGATAAATTTGCAAAAACAAGGTCAAACAAACTCGATAATTATTCA